CCCCCGCCCCGCGCCAAACAGTTCAAGCTAAACAACTGTCTTACTTATCCAGGGGGCCTAGATGTGGAACAAGGGATAACCAGCCTGCAAAACACAGCTCTAGGGAAGCTGGCTGGTAAGGAGGACCCTGAGAGGGATGCAGGGATTGGCCAGTGATGGAGAAATGGATGAGAGCTGTAGGAGCAGACTGGGGGTGAGGGGGGATAATGGAGGGCAAGAGTCAGGAGAAAGAGAGCTTAGGGGAGTGGGAGGTTATCGCTGAATCAGGGGCAGAGTGGGAGAGCAAGGAAAGAGATGCCATGATGAGTGAAAACACAATGGGAATAGGGAGAAGCAGAGTGCTGGGGAGGTCCCCAGGAATCCACAAAGATGACTCCACCATAGACTACTGGCAATGGTTGAATTGGTGCCTGAGCTGACCTACTCTGGTGATCGAATGGCTGAATACCCTAACCGTCATCATAGAACCCCCATTCACTGACTGATGGTAGCAGATGCACAGATCCACGGCCGGGTCCCAGGCGGAGCTCCAGGAGTCCAATTGACGGGAGAGAGGAGGGATTCTATGAGCCGGAGATATTGAGACCATAATTGGAAAAAGTGCAGAGACAACCAGTCAAACTAGTGGAAACACATGAACTGTGGACCAATAGCTGAGGAGCCCCCATGGTACTGGACTAGGCCCTCTGGATAACTAACTATAAAATGAAAATCTTAATGGAGAAATACAGGAGATGTCAAATATCTTGAAGTAGAAAAACATTTCATATTAACATGATCATATGAACAAATAGAATCAGTTGGTGGAATAGTGGAAAATTACAATAACAACGCTGAGGGCTGACAATTTGACAGAAGCAGAAAAAATATTTCAGTCATCACAACCGCCATGTGAAGGTGTACTGAGGCATTCCCTTTCCAAGTTTTCGTTTATTCCTTACAATATAGCTGAAAGATTGATATGATCTTCATTTTACATATGAAGGAGCTGACTTAGAAAATCTAACTTGCCCCAGTTACAGACTAAATGAAAGAGCCAGAATGAAAGCCTGGCTGACTTGAGACTTGTTGTGTATAAACATCTTTCACTGTTTCTGTTCAGTACACCTTCAGATCAGATTACAGATTTAAATAAGGTAACTGTGCACGATTTCTAACATCAGCAGTGGGCTCCGAGTTCCACAGCCCAACTTCCAGATGGTGAGGTGAAAAAAAAATTACTCTTGATCATTTACTTCTGGGAACTAATGGCAACATTTTAACTTTCATTTTAACACCTATGGCTATCTGGAGTAATTGTCATCACCTTAAAATCTTTCCATTTCAACCCAGGGCAATTCCCCTGGCTGTAAAATGTTCTGTGATCAGAAACTGTGTCCCCACCTAACTGATTATACCTATTTTTTTGCCCCTAACAGGGAAAATTGTGCTAAAATGGAAAGAGTTTCCAAGGCATAGGAATCACTTGTGCCCATGACTGTCTCTGCCAGACATTGCCCTCCAACATAGACACAGTAAAGTTATTAAAATAGTAAAATACAAGAATTTTAGATTTAAAGGACAATTATTCATCACATTATTGACTTGGGGGAAACATTTACAATCTACCATTTCAATAGCAGTCAGAATAAAATCCACATTTAAAAGTATTCATAGAGAAGTGATTTAAAAGCAAGCTCTATATAATTTTGATTTTCTTTTCTATCAAGTAAGTCATTTTTTATCCCAGTTCCCTCCCCCTTCTTTTTTTTTCTCCTTTCTGGCCTTCTTCTTTTCTCCCCTTCCTTCCTCAATAGGGTTCAGCTAAAGCAACAATCACCAGGGTTAAGAGGACTCCCACAGGATAGGAGATAATCTTTGCCCCTATGCATATGACAGGGGATTAACATACACTATCTGCATATAACTCACAAATGAGAGAATCACTATGTATTTCAGACTTCCCTGGAACTTGCCTTTCTCTTGCTTCATTCTTCCAAGTGCTGTGAATACAGGTATGTACTACCATGCTGGGTCCATGTTCACAAATATTGCAAAATAATTAATACTAAAAGCTAACATGCTTTGTGCATAACACTATTAATAAATTACACACTGTTTTTGTGCCAGTTCTTGGAATGCTAACTTTATGTTGAAAAGAATAAATAAATCCCACCCCCATATATGATATTCATAAATTTATTTTATAAGTTGTTGTCACCAGAAAGTGTAGCACTAATTTCTTTGATGTTTCTATTTCTGGGGTCCTTGTTTCTTTTCCAAATTCCATATTGAGATCACCCTAAAGGCAACAGTACTATGAAGTGGGGCAGTTGAGGACAACATAGGCAGCTCAGCCATCATTAGTGTCTTTTATAAGAACTGAAATGAAATAATTCAGTGACTTTCCCTCCCCCAGCCCTGCTCTTCTCCCAATCCTACACTGTGAGGGCACATTTGTTCCTTATGGAGATTGTAACCGAAAGACTTAATCTTGGGGGCAGAGACTAGATCTCAGCAGACACTGAGCCTTGATTTGGGAGTTTCTACCTTCCTGAACTATGGGAAATATTTCATTGCTCTGAAAATTACCCAGCTGCAGTTATCTTGTTTCAGCAGCAAGGACTACATACAAATTATCTTGGTTTTCTTAAAATTTTATTTTCTATCCTAAGGACTTTACAAAAGTCTTATGGCATTGATTTTTTGATAAATTGATGCATAAATGCTATATAGATGAAAGTGCTCTTGCTACAAGGAAGCACATTAATACAAATGGGCTTAGATGTGCCTTAGTATATTCTAGCAGGAGGGGCTTCTTCAAGAAGCCTAGACCCTCAAGAATGGGTATGATACCTTGACTGGTGTTTCTCTCCTCATTTACTAATGCAGTGTTCAGACTGGCACCATCTGAGAGAATGTCCTACAATCATCAAAATGTAAGTATGATTTAAAAGACAGTAGTTTAATTTTGACTTTAGCTTGATTTGATTTTTAGGTGTCACTGATAAGTTCAAGTGTGGCTGTTGTGACTAGAAAATGAATATTATTTCAGTACAGTTGAATATTTATAGACACATGGTGAGGAGGGTTACCATACTCAAAAGTACAGGTTTAGAATTTAACATAAAATATTTATTGTTGATTAGACAGAGAAAGACTGAATTTCATTGCTTTGAACTCCTTTAATAATTATAAACAGCCCACCTTTCTAAAATTACTACTAATTCTTCTATTTTTATTTGGCATCATAAAAACATATCTCCCTTAATCAATAATTAAATACAAATGGGTCTCTTATGTCACTAAGAATGTTTAGCTGTAAGGTCCCACCTATTAAAATATGTGTAGCATTGAGACTTTTGAATATATTATCAATGTCTGTTGGATTGCAAGAGACCAACTAGCCACTCTTGTGGTGATATTGTGTTCCCCAAAATATTGTGCACCCTAATAAACTTATCTGGAGTCAGAGAACAGAACAACTACCAGATATAGAGGCCAGAAAATGGTGGCATGCACGCTTTTAATCCTAGCATTCCAAAGGCGGAGATCTGTCTGGATCTCTGTAAATTCAAGGCCACACTGGAAACAGCCAGGTGTGGTAACAAGAGCCTTTAATCCCAGAAAGTGATGGCAGAAAGCAGAAAGATATTTAAGGCATGACGATCAGGAACTAGAGCCTGGTTAAGCTTTTAGGCTTTTGAGCAGCAGTTCAGCTGAGATCCTTTTGGATGAGGACTCAGAGACTTCTAGTCTGAGGAAACAGGATCATCTGAGGAATTGGCAAGGTGAGGTAGCTGTGGCTTGTTCTTCTCTGATCTTCCAGCATTCACCCCAATACCTGGCTCCAGGTTTGTTTTTATTAAGACCATTTAAGATTCATGCTACACACTCTTGTCTAATTCTTGTGTCTAGACCATCATCAACTGGATAGCCATTGACTTTGCTGTTGTAGTTATTTCAAATATTCATTCTAATCACTTTATAGTCAAGACAGTGATTATCAGAAAGCAGCTCAGATGATTAAAGAAATTATCTGGACACAACAAAAATAAAGCTGACTGACTCATAGAATCATGAAGAAATATAATTTGTATTTCTTATCTCCATCACACACAGAATACAAATCTTATTCTATTGGCATCTCTTAATCAATCAAATATTTATAAAATAACAAATTGTTATTTTATAGCCAAATTATGAAATAATATATTTTTTGATGATAAGACTTAAATTTATTTAGTGCTACAAAGAGGTGCAATAGGCAGTATTAGAGAAAAAGTCAGTAAAATATTCTGAAATGTGTGTGTGTATGTGTGTGTGTGTGTATGCTTGGAGTATGTAGTTTCTTTTTTAATTAATTAATTAATTAATTAATTTTTCTATTATCAGCTTGATACAGAATAAATTCTTATCCTAATAGTGAAATGTTTCATTGAGGCTTGCCCAGTAATTGGGTAAAACCAAAATTTATTATAAGCCACAGTCATCCTAGGGTCCCCCCTGCTATATAGCCTCCCTGGTTCTGTGGGTTGCAGAATGATTGTTCTTTGCTTTATATCTAGAATCCACTTATGAGTGAGTACATACATGTTTATCCTTCTGGGTTTGGGTTACCTCACTCAGGATGATATTTTCTAGGTCCATCCATTTACCTAATATTCTGAAATTTTAAGGACTCACTAATGTTTGTATGGGAGTAGTGAAGTATATAAAAAGATTGTTGTATAATAATCAAACTACTTCAACCGATAGCTCTTATGCAAGCCTTACCTATGGAGATGATTACAGGTGTGTGCATCACTTGTTTTCAGTGCTGGAGAGTTGGTATTCTGTTCTTATTTAATCATTGTCTTGCCAGGATTAGGAGACTGTTGTGGAATATTTAACTCTCTAAAGATGTGTTACATTTGTTTATGCTGCAGAATATTACTTTAACTGTGTGTTACATTTGCTTATGCTGCATTTGTTTAATGATGTATGGATGTGTGTTTAATTTTGTAAAGATGCGTTTTTGTTTCACTTTGCCTGCCTAAGGCACCTGATTGGTCTAATAAAAAGCTGAACCGCCAATAGGTAAGCAGGACATGGATAGGTGGGGCTGCTAAGGAGAGAACATAAGCAGGAAGAGAAATGTATAATGAGAGAAGAAGAAAGAGAACAAGAGAGAAAGAGAGGGACACACCCAGAGCCAGAAACCAGGCAGCCAAAAGTCAGACATGGAGACATCAGAGAGAGAGAGAGAGAGAGAGAGAGAGAGAGAGAGAGAGAGAGAAGGAAGGAAGGAAGGAAGGAAGGAAGGAAGGAAGGAAGGAAGAAAGGTAAAAGGCCCTGAGGCAAAGCATAGATAAAGAGCAACAGATTAAAATGAGAGCTAAGATAAGGCCAAGCATTCATAACTAATAAGAAGTCTTCATGTCATGATTTGCAAGCTGGTTTATGTCTCAAAAGAAAAAAGCATGGCAGAGGAGACTTCAGGCTAGTGAGTGATTACTAGATGTCTGACAAGACCTAGAAAAAACTCTCCTATCATTACATTTCATCGTCATAGCCTATGAACACTTAAAACAAATAATATCTAATTTTATAGACTTCAGAAAACTGAAGTGTCAACAATGTCTCTAGGATGCATGCAATGATATTCACTGACATACTTGCTGTTGTGACAATAAACTGCCATACAAGTAGAATCCTGCCATAATTAAAAAATAATACACAAAAGAGGGAAATGTAACTACAGTTCTACATCTATGTTATGCATTTTTAAGTTGCTCAATATGAGATGTGACTTTTACTACCTTTTCATATAAAGAATATAGCAGACTTAACATTGTCTACAATTCTTAACTTCAAAAGAGTTTTGCAGATAATTGTGTTGTGGTCCAGCAAACAGGATTTGTATTATAACTCAGGCCCTCAAGCCTGTATGTGGTCCATTTTAACATCCTTTATGATTAAATTGCCATAACAGCATTCTATGGGACCCCACATAATAATAATTCAAAAATTCGCCACATGTGGTATAAAAAGATTAGACATGTCTTAGCCAGGCAGGGACTTAAATCCTGCCTGATAATACTGTGGAGAAATTACACACCACAAAAGCAAGGGAGAAAGGGCAAAGGTTTAGCAAAAGGAAGATATAATCAGAGGATACACGCCTTTATAGAAACCAGGTTTTTCTATTCTAGGCTATTATTTTATAAATTCGATCTTGGACTGTTGATCTCTCTAAATGATTACTGCAGAATGCATGCACTTATAGAAACAGTTGCTGATGATTTATATTTCAGACATATTTGCATCAGGTTTTATTCATTGAAAACACAATTTTCCTAATGGAGCTGATTCCTCAAATAAAATGAAAATCTGGACATTAAATTTGTATAAAAGCGGTGCAATGTCAGTATACAATTACTACCTCACATTTGGGAAAACAGCAGTAAAAGCAGCAACTAAATGTGAACCCAGATGAGATCCGCTTTCAAAAGATAAAAATGGTTCTGCTCATGGAAAATATTGACAAAACTTCTCTTCTTGTCTCTCTCAATTCTAGCCACATAATGAAATAGAATTCTGTTCTTCCCATAAAAATACAGACTGTAGGCTTATAAATAGTGGAGATGGGAGAAGACTGGGTCTCTTGAATATGCCATCTTCCTCACTATTTGATGAGTTATTAAGTAACATTAGTGATGTTTTTTATATTGCTAGAATGTCATTTACTGCAGCATTTATTAGCCAAGGCAATGTGATTTATTTATCTTAATGTCTATAACAAATGTAGCAAGTGAGCTGTAAAGTATAAATGAGTTGAAGGGTGTAGTTCTTGTCTGCTCTCTAAAGGAAAGTCTGTATGCACAGTCTGCTGATACAGGCTGAAAGTGTTCCTATCTACCCATCTACCCAGAAAGAGATAAATGAGCCAATGACAACTCTTGGGAAACAGAGTCTTCATAGTGCAATACACAACTGCAAAGAGAGAGGTCTTTAGTCCATACTAAGAAAGAACAGAGGCTATTTAAAATGCAATGCTGTGAAGAAAGACTCACAATGAAGAGATTCCTAAGGTCAGTATTGCCCTTAATGAAAAGATATTCAAGGCTACAGTGTGCCTCGAAAGCAGCAGAAATCTCCATTTTCATTCTTTTGAGAAAAAATTCTTTACTTGTTACCATATCACTAATGAGCATCATTTGATTGGATTCTTTGTTATTTGATTCATCATAGTGTGTGCCAGCTCTTAAGTAAAATAAGTGTTTATAGAAGTCATGGTCTGATTTGTTTGTATATTCATTGTTTGTTTTGCAGATCCAGATTGAACCCATATCTTTAGGTATGCTAAGTCAGTACTCAAATACTAACTATTGTGCCAACTCTATTCTCTTCCCCCCCCCCCAAATGGGCAGGAATAAATGATACAGAAGGCATGATATTAATGCTCTTGCAATACAACATTGGTCTGAGGTGATGTGTTTAAAATTATTAAGCATTAAAAAAGGAACTGACCCATAGACAACTCTGTAAACATGTTCAAGAATAGACACACAGCCCGGTTGTGTTCCACTTAACAACTTCCTGTAACTTCTTTTGTTGGGGAGGTTTTACTTTAATATATTGTGCTGTATATTTCTTCAGGATGTTTCCAAGATTTGTAAGTACTGCTAATAAGTTGCATGCATGTTCCTTCCTGGGTGCTTTAAATGGTCTGGGATATTATTAAGTACACAGATGCTATTCAGAAATTATAATTGTACATTTTATGCCACTCTCTGCATCTTCTACATTTAAGGTTGTCTGTGGGCACACATAGTTATATATGTTAATTTCAAGTAATAAACACATTAAAATGTCACGTCAAGTGTTGCTGTTAGCAGTCATAGTCAAATATGTCTTAGTCAAAAAATATGTTTTGTTCCATGATTTCAAACCATTG